TATGGTAATGCAGTCGTGGTTAAAATCTTGAAAGTATAATTATAAAAATAGTTTTGATCAGTAATTGCTTTAATTAAGCTAAAGGAATATATTTAAAAAAAAAACATAATTTGATAAAAGTACTGCCTGGCTTAAGGCCTAAGAATAAAAAAAAAGGAAAACTTATTTACATAATGTACAAAAGGTTTGAGCCGGCCATCGGGAAACGTGAATATGGTTTTACGGGCAACTAACCAAAAGTTATGATTTTTGAGCCCAAACGCGATGTCAGGTGGCAAGGGACCCTAGGATCTGGCGGCAGGAGATGTCTCGCAGGGGTGGTGGAAACGTTGGGCAAGCAGGGGAACAGCGCCAGGATGCAGTGAGGCAGGAGCCTTGAATAGGCCAGGAATCCATTAGAAGTGGTAGGTGGAATTGGAAGCAGAAGGTCCTTGAAGCCTAGAACTTGAGGGCCCTAGACTTCATGATGGGGCAGCTTGAGGCTCTCGCCTCGTGCTTGTCAGGAAGGCCCTTGGAGCAGCAGTTGGCACACTTGGAGGCCATCGGGAAACAACAACAATGAGCTTTTATTGGGGAAGCGTGACCTCTGGCGGTCGATTTAACAGAGTATTTGAATCAATGAAATAATTTTAAATAAAATAATATTTTAATATAACATATATATTTTATGAAATGATTGGATGTACAAAAAAAGATATCTAGGAATTCAATCGATATATAAGAATATTTTAAATACAATGATATTCGGAGATTCATTAAAAAAAATAATAAATAGAGAAATATGAAGTTGAGTGAGGGTGGTATTTGTGCACTAAAAAAGTCACTACTCCGTTAAATATGCCTTAACACAATGTATTTTGATTCATGACCTGTGTAAAGGACGTTGTGGAGGTTAAGAAAGATACGATGTCATACATGTTGGTTTTGTTTGAATTTGCCAAAACTGGTGTTATGACACATTTTATCACCATCATTGCGTTCAATACTGGGTGAAGAAACAAGATGTACCTTTACATACTTACATTATATACATAACATACAATACATTACCTATATACATTACATATATGCAATACATATATACATTACCAGATAACAAACCTAAATACATTACATACAATACATACTTACATTATATACATACATTACATACATAATATATATACATACATTACATACTTACATTACATACCTACATTGCATACTTACATTACATATGTAATGCATTTTAACGGGAGAGGTGTCCCTTTTGGTACATAGATACATTCGTTGAATGGAAGTTTGAGATATACTCATGGACAAAACCTAAGGAAGTGGAAAGTCTTTGATATCGCCGGTCATTTCTCTTTTTCTTTTTTTTTTTTGAAGGAGACAGAGTCAATTTTGTTCATACTTGGTTATCTCGTGTGTCTTCTATAAAGGTCACTGTAATATATTTCATATTTATTGTCTTAACCCCGATATACCGTCTGCGGCAGAAGCTGGCAACGTCAGCAAGGGCACGTTGGACAAGAGACGGGTGCTACATGGCCTGCGAAGTTCCCAACCCGTGTACCTGTCCAGGGCGCGGTCGCTAAGAGATGGGGAGATCAAAGGAACCAACAGTTAACAAAAAGACCTCGGGGTTGATATCGCATCAGTGTTTGATGATCTAGCGCCAAGATCTTCGAGGCGGCTTCCTAGATCTTTAGCAGCATACGATGACAAGTTGGGAGCCACGTTCCAGATGGAGGTAGAAGACTATTAAGGCTTCCATTCAGTGCAGCTTCAGCTCCTTTGCAACATGCCAGTCTCATCTGCGTGCTGGCGTCGTCAAGGCCGAAGCCACCTGCGGAGTCAGGACGCACCAAAACGCCACCCGGCAGCCAGGCGGTGTGTTGAGGTCCACAGAAGAAATGTACCAGGCCGGCTTGGATCTTGGAGATAGCAGAGTTGGTGGACATATATCCTTTAATATGGTATACCACAGAGGAAAGCACCAAAGAATTTGTTCTTTCGCCCGCTCGACGAAGAAGAGGCCGTGAACAAACGGGGACCACTTCGCAATTGCCTTCTCTAATATCTCTCTTGTATGGCTCACCTAGACCAAAGTTCCTTATCCTGTTATATGTGTCACAAGACAACTCAGTACTTTCAGTTGAGATGATAACTAGAAGATTTCCAATGGAGCGTCGCTGCGGTTGAGCCATGCACCCCATCAGACTATCGCTCTTGCCGAAGTTCAGCTGGATCCCTGTCACACGACACAATTCGTCGAAGACTGGTATGACGAATTCTCTCTTCAGTTGAGCAGAAAGATGTCAGGGTTGTACTCCATGGCATTCCCGTGACCTAGTAGCTGTTCCAGGCGACGTAAGAGGGGACCCGTGGCAAGACTGAAGAAGGAGGCCCTGGCGGTGCAACCTTGCCTGACCCCGTTGAGCAGGTGAGAAGAACGGGTGCGGTATACCTTGACTCGGAGTGCGGCGTCTATTCCAGGGTAAGGAAGGAAGGACCACCTGATGAAAGTAGGCGACAGCATATATATACGCGCGGCTGTCAGCTTCTCAATGGATTCCGGCTTATTTCTTCACCAGCATCAGACTACCGGAGCAGTGTCCATTGAGAGACTGCAACCTCATCTTACTCGCCTGGTACCGAAGAACTAGACATAGCACAATTCCCGGGATATTCTCCTTTTGAAACATTGCACGCGTGTCTGACGAGGTTGTCACAGACTCAAGAAACATAACACCGCTTGCTCTCATCCTTGAATCTGCTTCGACACACTTGACTGAAGTTCTCGGTTTCCCTCGTCAGACACGCGTGCAATATTCCAGAAGGAGCATCTCTCGGGAATAGCGCTATGTCTAACATTCCGGTACTAGGCGAAGAATATGAAGTCTCAGTCTCACAAGGGACGCTGCTGATAATCCGATAGTTTGCTGTTGGTGAGAAAATAGGCCGGATTCCATTGAGAACTGGACAATCGGGCGTCTTGGCGACGAGGCAGAGAATTTCTCGCCGATATGTTTGAGAGCTCAAACACAAAAACTCATCGAAATTCGTTATCCATTTTCAAGGCAAGTACCCCACCAAGTTGATCGTTTGAACGGTGGATGGCGGTGGAGATCTCTTCCGCAGAGACCTTGCAGTCGTGAAGAAGGTCGCTGTCTTCCAAGAGGATGGTGGCCGTGCTCCCGCGTCGGAACCCATCGGTGGTGTTAGGCGCCTAAGAAAAACATTCTTGTAAGATCTAAAGAACCTCGCGATGCGCCACTCTGCCCTCTCGAAGATGTTTCCACCCTCATCCTGAATGTTTATCATACCTGAGCGACGGACACGAAGCGCGCAGCCTGAGTCCCGGCAGTGATTGTGGTCAACGTCTGTACGACCTGTCCACGAGCCTGAACTGAAGAAATCGGCCGGTTCAGATAACGTAGTCATTATCAGTGAGTCGGTGTAGGTTGAGTGGCTTGTTCTCCGCAAGGAGATCTGCCTTTAATATTGGATTCTGTCTTGATTATCTTTGTTTCTTCCTCATGATTTTGATTGCTAGTAGATGTGACAGTCCCTTCTGTCTTTATTATCTTGATTCCTCATTATCTTGATTCCTTGATCTTGATCATCCTAGTTTCTTTCTCTTGATTGTTGTTCGATGTAATATTCCCTTCTTTCTTTATTATCATGGTTTCTTCCTCTTGACCTTGATTGATAGTTAATGTTACATTGCCTTTTGACTTAACTTTCCTGGTTTCTTCCTTTTCTAATCTTGAATACTAGTCGATGTAGCATTGGCCTTGATCATCCTAGTTTATTTTTCTTGATCTTGATTCCTAGTCGATGTAACACTTGAAATTCTTGGTTTATACCTCTTCATCTTGATTAATATTCGATGTAATATTGGTCTTGAAATTCCTGGTTTCTTCATCTTTATGTTATTCGATGCAATATTGCCTTCTGTCTTGATCATCCTGATTTCCATTACATCAATCTTCTAAGCACCAATAATATGATAACCTTGGCCATCGTAAGTTTCGGATTGAATCACTTTGGTTTTGCCAATCTCGCTTTTGTCGTATCCAGCTTATTCCGACTTTGTTGGCTCAATGTGTTCCCTTAGCTCCTGGAAAATTGTGCAGATCTGAAGTAAGTACCGTAAATTCTTTTCTTATTTTTTTCTTGCCCCAATCTTTCGCGGTTGAGAGATTTTTATCAAATCTTCCAAACTTTGTTCTGAAGGATTTTCCAGATGTTTTCTATTCGATACATCGAAGCGGCTGGTGTGACGCCCAGCTGGTATGATATGGATTTCTGCATCGGCGCTGCAGATCTCTTCGGCGATTATCAAATCTGGGTAGATCCAAAGTCAATCATTTACGTCTCCATTGTTTCCTTTTCAATTGGCCTGGAGATGTTTTCCCCCTGGTTTTCTTTCTGAGAGCTATCGCTCTCTACTGTGAATGGAGATCTTTTGGACAATGGGAGAAGGTTTCTTTGTATTATGAACAGAAGAGTCTATGCGCACTAAAAATAAAGTTGTTTATGGGCTATGGAATGAATTGATGAAATAAACAAACATTCAATAATATAGGAAAGGAAATAGAAACAACCAAAATCATATATGGAACGCCTTCTCAACACTTCAGATATATAGATAGAAATTTAAAGTCTCCTTCAGCGTGAAAAGGTCTTTCTCTAAGTAATGATGAAATTATTTATCAATTTGCTTTCCACAAAATTAGGAAGAATTTGAACGCATTTTATCTTGAATTATCTCGACATTTCGACAAAATTCTTTTGTCCTCGTCAAGAACAAATAAAAACTAAAGCATTTGGCAAAAGGCGTTAAAAAATATTATAGAAAATGAATAATTTTAACGTATTGCCAATTTTTTAAATTTTTATAATGCATCTTGTTCCTGACGAGAACAAAAGAATTTTGTCGCGAAACGTCGAGGTAATAAAAAGAATATACGTATATAGAATATTGTTAACGCATTGATAAATGCTTTAATATGTCCAGGGTAGCCTAGTGGACATGGCATCACCCCGGTAAGCGGAAAACTGTGGGTTCGATTCCCATCCCTGGACACTTTTATTTTTCCGTTTATCATTACTCTTCATAATTCACCCTTTCATACCTCATCCAAAAGGTTATAAATAATCGTTATTTCTCCTTGAAATATATTTTGAATTTTCGTTGAAAAGAAACACATGCGGAATAGTATTTCAAATGTCGTTTTATAGAAATATTTACATAGAGTTACAAATAGATTACAAGACTTACAAAGATAACGTATAATAAAAATATTTGCAGTTCGAAATGTCTTTTAATTCAAAAACTAAATTGATACTCGATTTGTGACAATTGCAAGCTGTTTCTGGTATGGGATGAAAGGTGTAGTTTTGACGATTCGAAATGAGGCCAATGTGACAGAGGGGGTTCAAGAGAGAGAGACCTATATAACTTGCCAGCAATTTGAGCTTTCTGGGTCAACTGCAGAGTTACGACGGAGTGTCTGTCCCCCGTCCATTATATCAAATTTTGTGTGAAGCTAAAAATATCTTTAAAACAATATTTGACATCAACTTTTATGAATCCTCAGTGTGTATGGTGATAAGATTATCTTTTATGAACAACGAGCTGTGTGTTTGTTCCTATTAACGTGGTGAATAAGTTTAGAGTTATGTGAATATTTGCTTTTCTTTCCAAGACGGTCTATCTATAGGTTATGTGGTAGTTCAAAGGGGTGGTTCTTGTGTGGATGTCAGGGTTCTGTAGGGTGGTTCTTTTGTGAATGTCAGGGTTCTGCAACAGTCGTTCTGTAGGGTGGTTCTTCTGTGGATGTCAGGGTTCTGCAGCAGTCGTTCTGTAGGGCGGTTCTTCTGTGGATGTCAGGTCTCTGCAGCAGTCGTTCTGTAGGGCGGTTCTTCTGTGGATGTCAGGGTTCTGTAGGGTGGTTCTTCTGTGAATGTCAGGGTTATGTAGGGTGGTTCTTCTGTGAATGGCAGGGTTCTGTAGGGTGGTTCTTTTGTGAATGTCAGGGTTCTGCAACAGTCGTTCTGTAGGGTGGTTCTTCTGTGGATGTCAGGGTTCTGCAGCAGTCGTTCTGTAGGGCGGTTCTTCTGTGGATGTCAGGTCTCTGCAGCAGTCGTTCTGTAGGGCGGTTCTTCTGTGGATGTCAGGGTTCTGTAGGGTGGTTCTTCTGTGAATGTCAGGGTTATGTAGGGTGGTTCTTCTGTGAATGGCAGGGTTCTGTAGGGTGGTTCTTCTGTGAATGTCAGGGTTCTGTAGGGTGGTTCTTCTGTGGATGTCAAGGGATCTGTAGCAGTCGTTCTGTAGGGCGGTTCTTCTGTGGATGTCAGGGCTTTGTAGCAGTCGTTCTGTAGGGCGGTTCTTCTGTGGATGTCAGGTCTCTGCAGAGGTCGTTCTGTAGGATGGTTCTTCTGTGGATGTCAGGGTTCAGGGTTCTGTAGCAGTCGTTCTGTAGGGCGGTTCTTCTGTGGATGTCAGGGCTCTGTAGCAGTCGTTCTGTAGGGCGGTTATTCTATGGATGTCAGGGCTCTGTAGCAGTCGTTCTGTAGGGCGGTTCTTCTGTGGATGTCAGGGTTCTGTAGCAGTCGTTCTGTAGGGCGGTTCTTCTGTGGATGTCAGGGCTCTGTAGCAGTCGTTCTGTAGGGCGGTTCTTCTATGGATGTCAGGGCTCTGTAGCAGTCGTTCTGTAGGGCGGTTCTTACGTGGACGTCAGGGCTCTGCAACAGTCGTTCTGTAGGGCGGTTCTTCTGTGGATGTCAGGGATCTGTAGCAGTCGTTCTGTAGGGCGGTTCTTACGTGGACGTCAGGGCTCTGCAACAGTCGTTCTGTAGGGCGGTTCTTCTGTGGATGTCAGGGATCTGTAGCAGTCGTTCTGTAGGGCGGTTCTTCTATGGATGTCAGGGCTCTGTAGCAGTCGTTCTGTAAGGAGGTTCTTCTGTAGATGTCAGGGCTCTGTAGCAGTCGTTCTGTAGGGTGGTTCTTCTGTAGATGTCAGGGCTCTGTAGCAGTCGTTCTGTAGGGCGGTTCTTCTGTGGACGTCAGGGCTCTGTAGCAATCGTTCTGTAGGGCGGTTCTTCTGTGGACGTCAGGGTTCTGTTGAAGTCGTTCTGTAGGGCGGTTCTTCTGTAGATGTCAGGGCTCTGTAGCAGTCGTTCTGTAGGGTGGTTCTTCTGTAGATGTCATGGCTCTGTAGCAGTCGTTCTGCAGGGCGGTTCTTCTGTGGACGTCAGGGCTCTGTAGCAATCGTTCTGTAGGGCGGTTCTTCTGTGGATGTCAGGGCTCTGTAGCAGTCGTTCTGTAGGGAGGTTCTTCTGTGGATGTCAGGGCTCTGTAGCAGTCGTTCTGTAGGGCGGTTCTTCTGTGGATGTCAGGGCTCTGTACCAGTCGTTCTGTAGGGCGGTTCTTCTGTGGATGTCAGGGCTCTGTAGCAGTCGTTCTGTAGGGTGGTTCTCACGTGGACGTCATGGCTCTTTATCATATAAAGGTGTTAGCGTCCAAGTGGTATTAGCCTTAGTGAATAGGTCATCACACCTTATTTGATTTTCATAAATAACTAACCTGTATACCATAGTTTCAATTTTTAGACTTCATCAGTACTCAAGTGAACACATTGTCTTCACCTGTTTCGGGAGAATTTTGAGAAAATTGCTCAAATTTGATAAAACAGGGGTTTAGTTTGATGAAGTTGTTGTTCTGTTTTCAGGCCAAATGCTTTGTTATTCATCTGTTGAAATTTATAATGGTACACAAATTATACACAGCTTTTACAGAGATTGGACCGAGAGTTTTTCAATAATTGAAACAATCTACGAGTTTATCCCAAACGGTCGAATCACCAAAGCCGATCTAAATTCCGAAGTTCTGCAGCGGTTGCATACAGTTTAGAACAGAAGTACTCGGCATTGGTAAACAGAGAATACGACTTCTTCTACAATGGGTTAACACTAAACCAAATACTGCTAAAACGACGAAAGAAAAACTCTGGTTCAAAATCACATTAATAGGTACCGCTCAACAAGAGCAACCTAGTTCATGATAATTGAAACAGTGAATAATATGTGAAGGTTATTCGCATATTAAACAAAATTAAACGCGGTATTCAATCCCGGTTCATGATTGTCGGGAATCGAGGGTGTTACCCTCTCATCCACCGACTTTGTTTTGGTTAAGAAAATCTCTAGTACCTTTAAACAATTGTACTGTTGATATACCTTGCATATACACTCATGGATAAAACTTATTGAAATAAAAGTCTTTGATTTTGAGATTCTTTTATTTACATATTTTAAATCGTATATATGACTCTATTACATGTGTATAGCCTTGGTTTATAACGTTCGTTATGTATAGTTGAAAACTTCTCGTCGTATATTGTGTCGTATGTAAAATAAATTCTAGCATATATATATATATAAATCTAAAGAGACAAAGGTCGCCTCTCCCGTCAAAATAGACGTCAAAACTAGACGCCATCTATTGACCGTCGCCGCAACTAGCGGCCTCGGGTCGGTGACAAAGCCACAACACCAGCTTTGGCAAACTGAAAGTCTCTTTAGATCAATATTCTCCCGGCAAAATTTCCATATATATATAAATATTAACAACAAAATCGATTTTTATTAAGTCATAAAGAACGACGTTACAATTTTAAGAGTTAGTGGGGGAGGGGGTACAATTAAAATCTACATTGATGAAAAATTTATAAATATCGTATTTTGTCGTATAAATATCGTATAAATATTGAAAATAAAGAAGGCATCTCCTGACCACGAGCACATATGATTTTTAGATGGCAGAGCGCCATCTAGTGGAGCAAAAATAAACTAAACGTTTATTTAGCTTGCTCCGAGATATTTGGCCAACCCAATTTCTTGATATATCAAGAAAAGCCATCCACGAACGCGTTTCGCGCTGTTGGCGCTCGTCAGCGTGGAGAAGGCTGTGACCACTGCGACCAAAAAGATTTTTGATCCCAATGGCTTCCCGAAAAATCAAGAAATGAGTATTTAAGGCCAAATTTGCGTAAAGACGCTCAACACATGAAAAAACAAAAGAAAAAAATAAAAGATAAGTGGGTCAGGTGTTGATATTAAAAATAAAGAAGGCATATCCTGACCACGAGCACGTGTGCTTTTTAGATGGCAGAGCGCCATCTAGTGGAACATGTTAGCCCGAAATCTAGAAAAATAAAATTATACAAGAAACTTATTTCTGGATGCTTTATTGAATTTATTGAGGAATATGTGTTTGTTTTCAATATTTTTGAATAAAAAGCTTCCTCTTTCGTTCATAAATATTCCTTTGAAGGAACTCCGCCCTTGCCGGTCCCAAGCCCGGATGAAAAAGGAGGAGGGGGAGCAGTAACAAGCTCACTAAAAAACCTGGGCTCCGCTGGCCATGCTGATAGTACCCTGTAAGGGCTCCTAATCCAGGGATACAGGATGAGCAGTGTTTGTATTCCATGTTAGGAGCGGCTGCACATGGCGTCTGTTCCTCATGTCAGAGGCGGCCATTTCTTTTGGAGCTAAGTCGGCCTGCTACTGAGTAGTGCTCCCAGTCTTAATGACAAAGGCATTCTACTTCACCCAATCATGATGGTTGTCAAATCTCAAGCTTTTCTAGCTTGATACCCTAATATGATTGAGTGGAGATAAGAAAGAAGAAGACTTTGATGATGATTGTCTCACCATCAAGATTGTGAAAAGCTCGTTACCCATTTATTTGTCGATACTTCTGCCATTGTTTTGTTTGTGAAAAAAATAGTACAAATGTGAAATTGTACTGGGATAAGGTGAATAAATTAAGATAAATACATCTCCTTATCGTAAAACTGAAAATTGCTGATGACTAGCGTCATCTATCGGAATATTATCAACTATTCGTTGATTTTTTAATTAATCAAGAATGGGTATTTGGCCCCAATTCTGGAATAATTAAAAATCAACGAATAGTTGATATTTATTCCGATTGATGGTGCCAGCCATCAGTAACTTTCATTTTCACGATAAGGAGATGTCTTAAATTTGTTTTGTTTCTTTGAACTCCTGGACAAGTC